GAAGATAAAAAGTTTGGGAATCACTGCTTTATACAACACTGAAAACTACTGTAGGCTGTTTAGTTTTTAAATATTATACATATATCACCATGTATTAACACCACAAAGTACTCTGGATAAATGACAGCCACAGGCTGATCAGCTGTGGACCGCGGCCATCTTGAACTGGATTAAGTCCAAAAGTTAATCAGCTGTCTTTGTACATTTAATAATTTTATTAAAATCTGTCTGCATTTGCACAGACACAAGGTTGACTCCACTAGTTAATGCCGAAGTGTTTGGAGCAATGATTAGACTCTCCGATCACCTCCAGGTTCCTTTGCTGGATGATGTTCCTGGAGGTTAGAAGCTCTTCTTCTCCACTCTTCACCCTGAGCTCCAAGGCCCGGACCTCTGCCTCCCACTGCCGCTTCTGGTGGTTGATCATGATGTCGATCTGCCTCATGAGCTCCTGAAGCTCCGGCTCACAGGAGGACAGGACGGAGCTGGAAGATGAAAAACATGTCAGGTTTTAAATACAAAGAATTAAGAACTTGTCATTACTGCCTGCCTTCAATGGTTCAACTTACCTCAAATCAAAATTCTGCATTGGTTCCAGAAAGGTCTCCATGATMCTTGATTCAGTCCTTGATAGTTTTTGACCCCTGCACTGCCTCCCGCTGCGAACCTGACTAACTACGTGGTAAGACTCAATCTAAACTAAGAACATGTCRGTTTGTAACATTACAGTTAATGGAAGCTAACATTAGCAAGTTTTAGAGCGTCAAAAYAATTGTTTACATCACCAAGCAGGCGTTCTTTTCACTCTTCCTGATGAAACTCCGCGGTAACGCCGCAAACTGTGATGTCATCACGTCTTACGTTCACCTAGACGTTTAACAGAGTAGACTTCGCTTCTGGGTGCGTGAAATACAGCCGCCATTTTGGAGCGGTCGTCCTTCCTACTCAGACAAACCCAGACAGCAAGAAGATGAGGGATTGACGGACTTCTGACGGTGGGTATCATTTCACAAGCATGATGAAAATACTGTTTGTATTTTGTGAATAGAATATTACTGTAATACCAGTGTTCACCCAGCTATAAAGACTAACTGAGACTTTATTAAACATCTCAGCAGTGTTATATAAAGTACCACAACATGATACTTGAGTAAAAGTACAAGTATATTACCAAAAAAAAAAAACACTTTGGTAAAAGTTAAATAATTACTTAAGTAAAAGTCTTAAAGTATCTGATATATTTTGTACTTAAGTATTAAAAGTAAAATCAGCAGTTATATTTTCTGTAATGACATTTAGTAGGAGGTGACCTCCCCAAAAATGTAGAAATGACTGTATTGTATTAATTAATGCTTAATTTGTTAAATTTGGGATGCACTAGTCTAGCTGTTTCAGTTTATATCAAGGCTGCACAAACATTTTCTCCAAAATGAAAATCTATCTGAGGGCTGCGGCCAAATGCAATAAATAAT